TGTGTATATATTTGGATTCCAGCATGACGAGATAACTGCCCCCGCCTCCTGTCCCATTTGCATTTCAGTGATGAATGAGGATATGGTAAAGAGAACCCAAAAAGCCTTAGATGATAAGAGTGAAGAAAAAAAAAATGACACAAACCACTAATCTAATCTAATCTGGATCATGTAATCAGTCAATTAAGTGCTATTACTTGATACACACTTGGGCAATCATGCCACTTTGGATTCATCACTGACAAGACAAATTTCTCATGATAGTCTGACATTCCTTTCTGTAATAAACTGGTTGCCAACCAAGGCTATATAGACTAGTCTGTCCTGCTATTTAACCCATAGCTGGAGGAAGATGCATTCATACCTTTCCAAAGGTTATTTGAGTGTAGGTGAATGTAACAAACCAGACTGGGATTTGAACACAGTTTTCCGATTTCTCATTCAGAGACATTACCCACTAAATCACTATGTAGTGCAACAGCTAAAACAGGTGAAAATCTATTAATTCACTTGGCATTATTGCCACTGATAAAAATGAAAGTATCATGTGCAATGACAAGAGCAAAATATTTGCAGAAGAGTTTTCAGTTGAACTGATAGCGCAAACCACAACATGAACTGACAATCAGCAATAATGATCCGTGACTGTTTCAAAATTAACCAATATGTTAGACACAAGTCTGAATCTTTTGTAGAATTCAGGTGAAGTTTACTCAATGCATAGATTTTGCTAAGAAAGGTGAGCTAAATACACACTGTTTAATCTGCACATGGTTTTTCTTTCGCTATTGGGAGAAAAAAAAGCAAATAATGTAGTAAAGTGAAAAAATTGTTTAACTTTCAAAATAAAGCAATATATGGAGCAACAAGTTAAAACAAAAAAGTTTGGTCCCTTTCAAATATATATATATAAAAAAAAAAAAAAAAAAAAAAAAACAACCAAAGGACCAAGAAATTCATTTAATTCTTATTGTCTTTAAAGCTACTATACGTTCCTGAAAATTTAGTGATGCTGAAATTGTTACAAAGCAAAAGTAAATGAAGTGATAAACTGGATAATTTCTGGAGGTAATAACATCCAGGTGATCCAAATGAATTGACCAGAATGAGGTAAGAAACGGGAGACACAAGGAATGTCTTGATACATGGAATCGTATACAGCTATCAGGAATTAGAATAACAGAATTCTAATCCATTTACTGAAGAATTTGAGAGAAAGAGAGTGTGCGTGTGTGATCTGGATTGCCCCTGAGGATGGATGGATGGTGGAAGAGAGGCAAGGGAACAACAGACATGATGATTTTATGGAGGTGGGTGAGAATGGGGATAGCAGGTGATAAAATTGAAATAGGGAGGAAAGGAGTTTGTGAATAAGCATAATGGCAATGGCGGGGTAGGGGTGGGGTGAGTATAAAATGCTTGATAAAAGATGAAAGGAGGATGGCAAACAATGATGGGTAAGGGTAACAAAGTCTGTGGGTAAACAGAAGATGAAGAAATGATGTAGGTAGGAGTGGGTTAAATCATGAAATGACAGGAAATTCCACAACTGAAAGTGATGAGGGGAAGAAAAAGAAGCAGAGACAAAAATATGTGTAGAAAAAGACTCACAGACAGACAAGCAAAAAGAATGTGAGAGAAGCAAAAAGACGTAATTTCGGGACTATGAGTGCAGAAAAATAATATCAAGTCAGGTTAAAAAAAAAAAAAAAATCAGAGTAATAAAACGAATTAATGTTATTTAAATTATTAAATGAAATATATGATAATTTTGCACTGGGATTTTGTCTTTAGGCTTCATAATCACAGCACCAGTAAATTAGTTCAATTTTAAAAGACCCCCCCCCGTCTCTTCATATAATTAATTGATTGAAGGAACATTTGACTCATGAATTTTTAATCTTAAAACAAGTCATGAAAAAAAATTATACTCATTTGAAAAGGCATAAATTACTAATTACCATAAAAAAAAACATTTGTACCCCATAAATGAATCCAACAAAAAATAAATCTTGCACTAAAGACTATAATTATTTACACTTAAAACATCATTAATATTTATTTCAATCGAGACTTCGTAAGCTCAAGACTAAAAATAACCAGAAAAACCCTCAGATTCCCAAAAATATTTACAACACCTATTGAACATTTCTGATGTTTTTTGCAGAATTAATTCACAAAATTGGCTTAATTGTTTACATGAAATTACTCGAAAATGAAAATAAAAAAAATATGATTGAATAATACTTGATTACTTGCAAAACATTTGTACAAATAATCCAAAAAGAACAGAGTTAAAAAAAAATTAAAAAAAAAAGGATCGGGGTGGATTGTCCACAATGACATTTTTATTCTTTATTTTCAAGTCAAACTTACACTGGCTAATTAAATAAATTCTCCGGTTGTCATCAGGTGGCAGAATTTAGTTATAATTTGTAACTAAACTACATTTTTACGTTACTACGACATTAAGGATAATAATACCCACAGTAATAGCGATTAAGTTTAAAAAAGATAAGAAAAAGAATGCATCATTAATCGTTATTCCAAAGGAGATTTAGAGAAATTATAAAGAGGAAAAGTGAAATAATGAAGGTATTTTTCAAGTTTATGGTCGTGGAAAATAAAACAGTTTTAAATATAAAATTATACATTTTTTATAAGCCCAGTTAGATGGCATATTTTATTAAGAAAATCTAATGTTTTAAGACCCGAAAAGAAATCGTAAAAGTTTAATTTTTAAATCTTTCCTAAACGAACGGCCATGTTAACAAACCAACGCGCATGCGTGCTTTGGTTTTACGAAAATTCAATGGACACCGGCCATGAATTAAGGGTTAAGTTTATGACTGGTTTTGATTTCAGAAAATTACTAAATTAGTGTTTAAAATTAAACTATACTAAACGCGAAGTATATATAAGAATCTGGTATAGGCAGAGGGATATATAATTCAATTGTTTTAATTTCAAGCTGGTTATTCGGCTTTGATTGAACACTGGGAAATTACCGGAAGTATACAAAGAGAAAAGTTATTTGTTAGAGAAAGTTGTTTCGCATTTACAGCAGATTTTTCTTCCTATCATTCTTACGCCCTTATTTAACGAATGGTATTTCCTATCAGCCCTGAAATTTCTACAGAAATTATATGTCCAGGGTCCCTTCCTTTGAGAAAGTTGAGCGGTAAAGACATTTTTCTTAAACAGCCTCTTGACTTTCTAGAAAAAAAAAACTGTCTACTTTTCAGCGCTATACTTAGTTAAAGAGACGAAGCAATCTTGCACTCAACAAACTTTACCAGAAAATGATTTCGAGCATAAAAACTGAACATTGTATTATTGAATAATTTCCATTTTTTGTATTGCTCAATCAGTTAATCAAGTAGAGTCCGAAATTTTAACTTTTTCGTTAAATTAATAAAATTTTATTTTGTGATTTTCTAACCAAATGCTCTTAAAGAAATAAAAAGAATTTTCCAATAGGAAACAGAATTTGTCAAGGTTTTTAATTTTAAACCTTGTTTCTTTCTTACCTGTTTAAATAAAATGGTCACCCAACTCTTAATCGTTCAGAAACAATATTTTGCCTACTTTTGATCACAATTGAATAATTACTTATAATTGTTTATTAATTGAAAGTAAACTTTTAATCTAAGTTATAAAAATTAACTTTCATGAATAGAAAACTGGTTCCAGATGTAAAAACATTTTAAAAAAGTTCCTAAAAATCTAAATTTAAAGATGTTTTCACACCAAAAAAGTGAATGAAGATCAAATGAATGATTTTTATAAGTAACATTTTCAAAAAGTTGTGAAATTGCAAAAAGCAAAGTTTTAAAAACTGAGGCTTGTACTCATTTTTAATGTTAAAAATATAGAAAGTGTAGCCAATAAAAAAAAAAAAAAAAAAAAAAAAAAACCTCTCCTTAAGTTCATTTAGGACATTAATAACTTACTGAAATTATTTACAAAATTATTTAAAAGAAACAATATTTTTTTAAACGGGTGTCAAATATTCGATAATTCTTTAAAATTATATATATTTTTAGAAGGAATCAGTTTCTCAGAACGGAAAATGTAATAGCTGAAAATCGTAATCTAAATAAAAGATAAACTTTAAAAATTATGATTCAAATGATTTTCCTAAACAAGAAAAAAATTATGTCATTAGCAAAAATGAATTCAAAAAAATACAATTAGGTTCACGAAACTAATAGTGTTAGTATATTAAAACATTTTCTGGTGAATAATTTCAGAAAGAAACTAAATTTTTACTTGTAATTACAGATAAAAAAATATGAATTGACACGAAGGGTTGAGGATCAAGAGGTGGGGAGGATCCAAACATGTGACGTTGGGAGAGTGAAGATGATGAGGGTAAGAGATCGGAATAAAGATTTAGAGATTGAAACATTAAATCGACATAATACATACCAAGGAAAACCATTACTTAAAACAAGGTAAATAAAAACTATATAATATTCAAATTTTTGAAATAGCATTTCTTTGCACACACACGTTCAAGACGTCTCAAGTCATTTGTTGTTCGTTTCAAAATGTTTAAATCACAAAGCCTTCGAAAAAAAAAAAAAAAAAAAAAAAAAACAACAGATTGAGTATAATAAAATATATATAAAAACGTGGTAAACAAACAAGGTCCCAACAGGTCACCTGCTGATAAGCCGAAAAGCAACCGATCGAAATCTTGAGAAAACAAAAGATCAGGATGAAGTTACCTCCCCACCAAATAAAACTAGCTTTTAAAAGTAAAAAGGTAGGATAACTAAATTTCCTCCTTAGAAATTGACCCTTTTTTTTATCAAGTAGAGAAAATAAGATGGACAACACTATCCCCCACACTACAAAAAAAAAAGAAAAAAGGAAAGAGGTGATAGAGATTATGTCGGAAAAATGAAACGTGTAAAAAACAAGATAACAAAATGAAATAAAACATCAATAGGTACGATTGATGATAATGATAGGTATTTTTTTTGTTTTCTTACCAAGGCAAAAAGGTTTGTGTAGCAATCCTCGAGAGAGCAACCGTTCCCCGCAGGATTAGGGTGACTCATGGTCACTCCATCTCAGGATTCAGGGCTGGAGGGCGAAAGAAAGAAAACACTCGGCTTTCTTGTTCCTCTTTTTTTTTTTTTTTCTCTCTCCTTCTCCTCGTCAGATTCAAAAATATCTATCTAATATATATATGTGTCTAGGTATATATAAATATACACACACAAGCATAGACATGTGTGTGGGTCAATTACTTTTTTTTTTTGGCTTCGGTTACGTATTTTTCTTTTTCCTTCGTTAAAAAAAAAAAAAAAAAAAAATACAAATATTTCCTTTTATATAATTCGAGTTTCCTGTTTCGGTTAACTTTGCTCTTTTGTTTTCATCTAAATGTATATATAAATGTATTTATATATTTGTGTGTATAAATAGATACCTATATATACACACTGATTGATGATGATGATAAAATCTAGAATAAATAGTTACAAATATATATACAATATATTTTTTATATACATAAGTGGCCAGTTTTTTTTTGTTCCTCAGTGTAGCAGGAGAAAATGTGGACAAAATTGAAGTTTTCTTTAATAAACAGGACACAAGTAACCTTCAGATAATAAAATTATATATATATATATATATATATTTACATAAATATAATATATATATATATATATATATATATTTGTACAAGTAGGTGTTTCTTCTTTTAGGTTTCCAGGGGGAAGTCACTATTTAAGATGACATAAAAAGAGATGAGGCATGTGCCTACTAATGTAACTATTTAGTAACATTAGTAATTTAGGAATTTCTATCAAAGATCTTTTCTTTTAAGTTTATTTTACTTTTTCTTCTTAAATACACTGGTTCCCCTTTTTTTTGTTTGTTTGTTTTCTTTGATTTTATCCTTTGAGGAAGTTTGTTTTTTGCAGTAAAATTTTGACCTGTTTTTGGAGATTTAATTCCACAATAGGACAGACATGTAAAATAATTTATGATGATCAAGTGGATATATATTTATTTATATATAAATAAATAAATATATATGCATATATATATATATATATAACTTTGTAAAATTTCTGTACACATATATATATTTTTTTAAAGTGTTATTTTCTTTTTTTTCTTTTTCATTAATCTCTTTCACGTGTTCCTGTTTTTTCCTTACTTGTTAATTTTTGGTAAGTTCTTAAATCCATGATTCCGTCTTGGAGTGTTGAGGTCTTTAAAATTGTTTGGTTGTCTTGATTTTATATATATTTTAATTGTATTTTTCCTCTTGTTCGTATTTTCCAACCAACTGAAATAAAATACCAAGACTTTAAAATATAATTTACCTCAAGACATAAAAAAAATAACTTTTTAAATACTTATCGTTAAAATATATGTCCTGTTATTTAATACTTTAAAGAGAAATTTCACAGACGATGGATCTGTAGAAGACAGGGGTCGGGCTTCATGTCCCCTGTGGGGCAGGGATTTGCTACGGGAGGGAAAATAGATCTTTTTTTTTCTTTATCACTTTTAAGTATGTTTAAAAGGTTAGATAAGTATTAAATCCATTCGAAGTTGCCTTTTTTTCTGTAAAGAGGAGGAAAAACAAAAGTCAACGATCAGAAACTATTATCGAGAACTTTACAATTATTATTATTATTAATCTGTTTTTTTTTGTTTTGTTTTTTTAAATAGAATTAAATTTAAATCCGGTTTTTCAGAAGGAAGAAAGATGAGACGATGAAGAAGAAATACTTGTCATTGCATCTTCCGGTGATTATTATTATTATTATTATTTTGTCTCTCCTTTTTCTTTTCCCAAAACACTGTAATAATTCCGAAGATATCGATTCAGATTTTTCTTTTTTAGTATTTTTCAGGAAGAAATTACAATTTCAGCCTTTTTTTTTTTGTTTTGTTTTTTTTTTTCTTCCTCTTTTTTGTTTCCCTCTCTTTTCCTTTATTTCCAGTTTCGTAAATGTGTGAGTGAAGTCGGAAATGATGAGAAAGGAAAAAAATCACGTAGTTGTTACTCCAGCGATTTTTTTTTCTTATCTCTCTACTTTGGTCTCTGGATTTATATATATATATATATATATATATATATTTAAAATTAAAAAAAAAAAATCAGCAAAAAAAAAAAAAAAATATATATATATATATATATAGGAATAAATAAATAAATTCCTTGATCTCCGATTTTTAACTTTGTTTTGTCGGCTGATGGTGGTTGTTTGTCCCGACCAGATTTTTCTTTTTTTCTCTCTTTATATCTTATTTAATTTTATATATATATATATATATATATATATATATATATATAGATATGTATATATATATAAATAAATATTATATATATATACTTATATATATAATTTCTTTTTTTTTTTTTTTTTTTTTTTTTTTTTTTTAAGTTAAATTGTATAAAGAGTGAGAAAATGTGTGTGTATTTTTCATGTATGTGTTATGTTAGCTGTACAATAAGTCTCCACCCGACCATGTTACGGTCGTATTGCTCTGCTTACTCGGTCGATTGTGGTTCAATCTTCGATCCCGAGACAGTTTCTTGGAGATCTGAGGATGATTTTCGTCCTGAAAAAAAAAAAGAAATGGTTCGCTGATGTCGTTAGGGTCGATTATGGCGACGTCGGCGGCTTTACGTCGTAAGTGGCATCAGCAATGGCGGTCGTCGGCACTTGCAATCATACACTAAAGCATGTTTCTCCTCCTACCACGACGCTCTTAGCTACTTTCACTACTACCCATCCTCTTTCTCTATTACCGCCACCCCACAACCCTCTCCTTCGATACTCTTAGTCTTTCTACTTACACACCTCCCTCGCCTTCTTTCATACACTTTCTCGTCGGACTCACTTCTTTTTTATTTGTTCACCTTTGCCTTCTTTTCACTTTCTTTGTTTATAATTTGTGTTACTTTTCCCCGTTTTTTTTTCGTCTAATTCTACAAAATTTATCAACGCGAGAATTTTAATTAAATATTTTATTTTAAATATTTTATTTCTACAAGTTGAAGAACCTGACCCCTTGTTTTTCCTCCCACTCCCTTATATCTTTTAGTTACTTAAAGTTACGGTTGGAGTAGTAGACAGAGGAGATCCTTGTACACAGAGAGGGGGTAACAGGAATTCAGAGAGAAAGTAGGAGGAAGGTCGAGCAGATCCAGAACCAAGGCGCTAAGCCGGAGACATGATGCCATTGGTCGAACATGGTCACATGACCCGTTGCCGCCGGAGCCGAGAACCGGAAGTTGAACCCAACATGTCAGATGAACTTCTTAGTGATTGTCGGTTCTTTTTTTCATTATTTCGACGATTGTGAACGAATATTTCGATAGCGGCTACTCCCCGTTCTCCAGTGTAGATCATTCCATCCGAGCTTGTTATCACGCCAAAATACAATTATTTATCTTCGTAAAAACAGATTTTCTATATATTTGTATTATTCTGTATTTGTTCGTAACGATCTCGCTTTTCATGATTGTATTGTTCAAATGACGAAAGAAAAGAAAAAAATATATCCTTTCTGCTTATTTACAACCTAGATAACCACATTTAATTTTTTTTATATATATAAATATGTTCATAAAAGAGATTATTCTATAAGTAATTATTTATCAGTAAAATATGAACCTACTGTCACCTGTTGGAGAAAAGTAAAATATTTATGTCGACCTTAATTCTTTCCCTTGGGTTTTAAATTTTAAATTTTCTTTTAAGTAAAAACGGCCAGCGTGAAATAATTTCAATAAATCTATGAAACACATCGTAAAAAAATATTGTACATAAAAGTTGTTCTTGTTCTTTTATTGTCGTCTCTCCTTATTTTTTTTATATTCTCTAACATTCAGTAAAAAAAAACAAAAACTTGCGTCTTAGTGGCTTTATTGCCTTGCTTGGGGTGAAATGATAAAAAAGGATGCAAATATGTCTTAGCGATGTTTTAAAATTTAGTATCTTGTTGAAAATAAAATTTTAGGATTGACTGAAAAATCAGATATAAATGAAAAAAAAAAAATAAAGAATTGCATAAAATTCAGAATGGTGTTGCAGATAACGTTTCTTATTCAGTTGATTAATGTATTTTCGAAATGTGAAGTCCATCCTGTTTTGTTTGTAATTGGGATCAATTCTTTAAAGTAAACTGTCTTCATTTTTTTTTTAAATCATGTATGACTTGAACCTCTCAGAATTCATGATGGTCATTTTTATTTAAAATAGTTTTATATAGATTGTAATAATGCAAGGAACAAAATATGTTACATGCAGTGCCATATTTACATATGGACAAGACTAGTATTGGGTCTCTGATAAAATTTAAAAAGATAAAAATCTAAGAATAGAAGATTTGTCTCTTCATATTTAATGGGTTACCTTTGAAGTAGTTTGAAACAATTTAAGAGTATTTGGGCCCTTCAAGTTGGAGTGGGTCTTTTAAATTCAATGGGTGTTTCCTTAAGAAGTTTCATTTAGATTTTTATGCATCTTTTTTATAGCAGTCAGTCAGTTATGTGCCATGCATGATACATGCTTAGGTGATCATGTATCTTTTGATACATGACTGACAAGGCAGATTTTTTAAAGCAGTAGGCTGCCATTTCTTTCTTCGGTAGACCAGTTACAACCCGGTCTGTTCTGCTATTTACCCATTTTTTTTATACATTTAAATTTTTGATATAGCTTCATCTAAAAATATATCTTCTTTTTTTATAGACACAGGACAAACATACATAATGAAGAAGCCCCCAAATTCTATTAGCCCAGAGGCCTTTTAACACCTAAATTCAGCCCTGGTTACATATGTGTTTGTGTATAAATGTGTATAAACTGTCAACATCAGACAAATATTAGTGGATAATGCCAAAATACTATACAGCACCCAATGCATGAAAATACTCAAAATCCTATCATGCAAAATAATCAAACCACCTTAAATATCTTTCACCACGGGAGATGATATCTTGAAGTGTGTATAAAATAAATATATATTTAAGGGTATGCCTTATTTACATGATGTTTGTCGACTTGTTAATCTGTCAGATTTT